AAGCGACACAGTTGGGAAAGATAATAATTTAATCCCTAATTTGCCTTGGTATGTTCTACATCTATATCCTTATTAAGATGCCTTAAACTAGGCCTAAGAATGCCTAGGATGAAATGAAGATGCAAAGATGCATTTTAAAAGTATTTTCAAAAAATAGGGGTCACGCTCGAGCGTAGGTTAATCCGCTAAAGCGGACATGCAGACAAAGGTTTCCGCTCGAGCGTAGACTCATCTGCTCGAGCGTACTTCAAAACAGTCAAAAGTGCTGGATAGGTGAAATTCACGCTCAATTGGGCGCTCGACACCCGCTCGAGCGTAAAATACAAGGTTCTGCTCGAGCGTAAATTACCCCGCTCGAGCTGACTTAAAAACAGAACAAAATGCTGGGAGCACGATTTCCACGCTCGAGCGCCAGTCACCCCGCTCGAGCGTGAGTTCAAAATCTGGAATTCCCAGATTTGAACCTCAAGCTCAAATTCAACTACAAATGTATCAAATTCGATTCCTTTGGGCCCATTTCTTGGAAAACACTTCAAAACTCATAGTTTAACATGATTCAAAGCTCAATTTGTAAAATCAAGGCCCAAAGGTGAGGGAATTAAACCCAATTTCAACCAACATTTCAAGAACATGCTGAATGTGTAACATGCATGAAGTTAAACAACTTACAAGCCTCAAATACATGCTCTATTAAGCTAATATCTTCAAAGACAAGATGAATTCATGGACTTAACATAAATATGAGCATGCATGTGACAATTTTCCATGGAATCAACTCAAAATTCAATAATATAGGCATGAATGCATGAATTAAGCTATAATTCGACATGTTAGAACTAAATCATGACTTGGCTCCTCAATTAGACATGAACCATGCAAGAATCAACTTAAACACAACAATGAGAGGTTCAATCTCCTTACCTAAGTCTTGAGTTTAAGGTGTAGGAGCTTAATTATGTAATCAGCCTTCAACTTTTTTAATTCTCCAAGCAAAACGCAAGAAGGAATTCAATTCCTCTCCCTCTCTCTCTCTTAGTCGGCTAAGGCAAGGGAAATGAGCTGATGAAATGTTTGCCTAAGTGTATAATGAGGCTCATGAAGTGGCCCACTCACAATGGCAAAGTTGTACATAAGCCTAACTCTTTAATTAGCTTTACTTAATTTAGTTTAATCATATTAAATCAAATTTCAGATAAATACACCATAAATTCACATAAATTATGATGATCATAAACACTAATTGATCTCCGGTTCGGCCGCCGATAAGGCCTTCAATTCGCAATTTAAACATAAAACATGAACAGATAATCAAACAGTCAAACAGATAGATAATGCATTTAAACAGATACAGTCAATCAATCAGTTTCAGATTTCAGTCAGTCAGTTCAGTATTTCAATCAGTTCAATTACTTTTCATAATCAGTCTCAGTTTAGCAGTAGTCGGTAGTTTATCGGTAAACAGTGGTGAGGGTTGTTACAACTTTTCAACTAGGTTTTTGATGTAGTGAAAAGTATCAAGATTAGATATCGTTAAATAATAAAATAAATAGATTTTTTGAAAAATAAATAAATAATATTGATTAAAAGTTGTTTTATCTTAAGACATATATCATAATTTATATGTCACAATAGATTTGGGTTCAACTCGTTTAAATTTATAATTTTAACATGGGGTTGAAAGTTACATTATTAAAATTGTGACAAATTAAAAAATGATATATAAATTGTGATAAAATTATAAAACTTAAATTGTAAGTTTCAATATATATATATGTATTTTATAATTTACATACAAAAATCTAACTATTTATATTATTTCATATAAACATATTTTATTAACTTTTTCACATCCCGTGCATAGCACAGGTTTTCACTAGTACATATTAATTCGAATTGATCATCTTATAAAACTCACTAAAACATCATCCATACAAAAAAATAAGATGGCTTAAAAATCGATAACTATATCATCAGATTGCATTTGTCATAAAAAAATAAATAATAATAATAATAATTTGACAAGCCCTATAAGATGTTTTAAAAAATAACTGATATTCAATCATTTTATTTTTATTTTTTTGACATGGATGTTCTGCTAAATAAATTTTATAAAATTAACGGTTCAAATCAACAAAATGAGCTCATTAAGTCTAACAACACTCCTCCAATTGGATGTCCAACTCGAAAGAATTAATTTCCAAGAAAATAATACTAGTTGATTTGACTTGAATATAAAATGCCAGAAGCCACAATGTGCCCACCTCTTTGCTTCATTCTGAACAACTCGGTTCCGATAGGTAGCTCGAATTTAGAGGCTAGAATTTGGAGAAGAAGAAGAAGAAGAAAGAAGAAGAAAAAGAAGAGAAGGAAGAAGGAGGAGGACTGGAGGGGGCATAATCACAGGGGGAGGAGGAGGCAGAGGCGGGGCCGGAGGCGACGGCGGTGGTGCTGCGACGATCGCTGGTGCTGCGACGATCGGCGGCGGCGAGGTGACGGCGGTGGTGCTGCGACGATCTCCTCTCCTCCTCTCTCTTTCTCCCTCTCTCCTCCTCTTTCTCTTCTCCTCTCTTCTTCCTCTGCTCTTCTCATGTGTTCAACGAAGAAGAAGAAGAAAAGAAAGAAAGAAAAGGAAGAGAAAGAAAAGGCAGAAAAAAAAAAATTCAAAACCCAAAACGACATCGTTTTGGGTTTCGAGCCGAATTTGGGCCACCGAATTCGAGCTACGAGTCATTTTCCGAACACCTCATCTCTTTTAATCAAGATGAGTTGACTTTGGACATTCAACAAGAAATGTAAAGTTTCAAGTGGTTTAAAAGAAATGGGCAAATATTTTCATTGACTTTTTCTTTTTCTTTTTCTTTTTTTCATTATAAATTTATGAAAGCAAGTAGAGATTCAAAAGAAATGAATCCAAATGATTAAAATTCCTCATTTTAGCAGTAACAATTTTCATGTTGTCATGTACTCATTGTAATGGTGATATTAATAAGAGCAAAGTTTACTAGTTCTCAGACAACAAAGCTCTCAGTGACAAATTCAAGTCCAACCTCAACAATCTCTTCAATTCACTGTCATCAATTGTGGCTGCCAGTGGCTTCTACAAATCCACATTCGGCAGAAACTCTGACAAGGTCTACGGCCTAGCACAATGCAGAGCCAACATCTCACCCGCCAATTGCACCAATTGTATCAATGAGTTCATCAATGTGGCATTGCAAAACATTTCAATGTGGCATTGAAAAACATTTCAAACAACAATTTTGTTGAGGTTTGGTTTACATGGTGTTTTCTGTTAGGAAATTTTTAAAATGGGTTTTTAAAATTTATTGTTTAGTTTTTGGGTGTTTTTAAAATTTTCTTTATTTTTCTTTGGAAAGTTGAAAATAAGCTTGGGAATATTTATTTGAATATGGAATTGTGGGATGGATGCTAGTGTGCATGCACTCACACGCCAAAAATGGCACGCGCGCATGACGTGGGCTGTGTGGCTTTTGATGGCGAAAGGCGCCATGAGGGCGCTTTCCTATTTGCATCGGACAGGTTGAAGCGATGACGTAGATCCAATGTGGCATGGGTGACATGGAATACAGTCAGCTTCATGTGGCAGTGATGTGGCATCTATTGGCGATGAGTCAACCAAGCGATCGAATCATAGTCGTTGATTCGAGATGTACATGATCGTACGAATGAGATGGTACTCGATCGTGATTAGGTATAATCGATCAAAGCATCTATTTTGGTGTGAGAATGATCTGCTCCCTAGATCGTTGATCCAACGGTCAGATCTGATCAAATGCGATCAATGGACATGACCATTCGATCAGATGCATCAAGATCCTGTAAATAGGCTGCGAAATCAGCCATTTCAATTCATCCAAAATCCAGAAAGTATTCCTGCAATTCTCTCTCTTCCCCTTGATAAGTTTCTGTTATTATCAGTGTCTTGGTTTTTTTAATTATATCAAGAGTATTCTGATCTACTGTTGCTAATGTAGACGCCGGTAGACTTTGCTGTAACCCCCCGCACTCCTTTTGGCGGGTGCAAATATTGTCTTTAGGAAAGTGACTAAGTAACGCGACTTGAAGTACCAAATTTCTGTTCTACATAGACAAGATCATCGCCAAGTTTTGAAGACCCGAAGACCACCAACTGAAGAATTCAAGACAACTTGTTCCAATAATCTAAAGACAATATTTAGATATGACAATATCTATTATGACTCAAGATTTCATGAAGCACTAAATTTCTGTTCTACATAGACAACATCATCGCCAAGTTTTGAAAACCCAAAGACCACCAACTGAAGAATTCAAGACGACTTGTTCCAACATTTTCTTCACTATTCGAATGAAAGTTTCTTCGTTGTCTAGGAAAAAGGCTCGATGGGAGTAACAACAGATACGGGTTTTGATGATGCTGTTGTGGTGCCAAAAGGGGTGGCATTCATGGCTGGGATTGCATCGATGGCTCCAAATAAGCCGCGGATGGTTGAGATGTCGGTGTTGGATGTTGGGCAGAGTGGGAAGAGATACAGGATGACTCAATGCAGGAGGGATTTGAGTAGGTTTGATTGTGGCAAGTGTTTGGATGATCAGTTGGTGAGTTTTAGGTACTCTGTTGAAGATAAAAGAGGATGGGAGATTTATGGGATGAGTTGTAACATGTGGTATCATGATTTCCAATTTTATTCCAACATCTAAACCACTGCTAGTTCTAGTAAGCTTAGTAAATTGCTTCCATTCTTTTTGTTTTTGGGTTCAATTTCTTGCCATCTCAACCTACTTACCCTTAGTCTCTCTTTCATTTTATTTTAAGTAAATTATATTTTCACCCCTATAATGTGATATAAATTTAACTTTGATACTTATTTGTTAGCACATAATGTCACTTTCTATAACTGTTCTGAAAGTATGCCCGGGAGGCACTAAATCTAAGGCCATAAAAGACTTTAAGTTAATCATTTTCTATCAACAATTAATTTTATGAAAGATAATTAAAGTCGGTCCAACAACTGATATCAGAATTATGAATTTGAGTTGCTCAAGTCTTTTTTAGACAAACAGAAAGTACTACCCAAAAGGGTAGATCTATGGTTATAAATTTGATACTATTAGGAATATTACTTTTTTGTATATATTTTTTTGAGACTGGTTATTTAACCGTAGTAAAAAACCACTTTCTACATTAAAAAAAATCACAAAATCATTTAATCCAATCGTGTTCTTGACTTTAAAAAAATCATGTAAAACATGACTATCTCCCCTTCCACTCTAATTTCCCAAATCTGTCCCAAACGGTGGTGTATGAACTCTCTCTCCCTCCCTCTCTCTCAAAATCTCTCTCTCGCTCGACACTCTCTCGCTTGAATCTCAGTGTCCACTTTCCACTCTCTCTGGCTCGACTCTCGCGTGATGAAGATTTGAAGATTTTGATCGATATTTGATGAAGATTTGATGATTTCGATCTGCTGTAGATGAAGATTTCGATCGATTCATAATCGAGACTATAATCGGTAAGCTGCTTTCTATGTATGAATCCAACTCTTTGTCTCTCTTTGTAATCTAGCGTGTTTGTTTCATGCCTAGTTGCTGAATTTCTGTGTTGATTTATTCTGAATTTCTGTGTTGATTTCGATCGTTCTTTAATCTGTGTTGTTGATTTATTAAGTGATTCATCTTGTTTTTGCTAATTTAAAGTTATACAGATAGATAGAGACATGATTTTGGTGATTGATCTTGTTTTTGCTAATTTGTTAGCTTATTTCTGGTGTTTTACCAGATTCTATGAATGAATATTAATCATAGAATATTAATCAAAAATTGATGAATGAATATTCTTAAATAACCATGACAAGTAGTGAACTGCAGTTCAAATTTCCTTTCAAAATCTTCCCCAAAACACATCGGCACAATCTCCATAATTCTTTATGATAACTTTGTCATTTGGCTTTCGTACTCTCTCAGTATCTCACTAGCAAAAAGCAAGTACATACATAAATAATGAACACAAGTTCAGTAGAAGTGAAAGAAAAATTTTTGGGTGGGTAGGTGAGAAAATATTGAAAGGTAAACATAAAAAACAAAATCATGTTATTCTGCTTCATTTCAAATGTGAAGTCAGCATTGACATATATGCATAAAGGCAGGAACAATGCTTGAAATCTAGGAACTCTAAGAAAAGATCAAGTTTCAGAATTCATTTTGACTTGAAAGTATGAAACAAACATACATACAGATATGAACCTCGTGACAAGGTTTATATATTTCTTAATATTTGAACTACATTACAAATTTAAAGAGAGGTCTTTTCAGAACTATCCAAATTTGAGTTCCTATGTTGACTCCTTTGACTAAGCAATCTCTGGATGATACTTATTTGTTTATTACTTGTTCATTCATTTTCTTTGATTGATCAGTAACACAAGTTCACTGATATTAATATACTAGAATTGAATTTCTTCCCTTTGCTACCCAAATACCATCCAAATGTTCTCATCTTAGACAGATGACCAGAAATTGTGTTTGAAGATGAACTAAAGAAAGATGACCTTCAATACTAGAACATAACCACTTTCCAGGTGCCTCCAGAAAAGGTCCCACAATTCCTTCGGTGGAGGAAGGCCCTGCAGAGTTAAGTCTACAGCAAGTAGTTTCTTTTTCCAGTGTAATGCCATCACTTCAAGACCAAACATCTAAACACCCCAACATCCTAATATTTAAAAATAAATAAATAAAAATGATTCAATATATTTAAAACTCTGTACTTCTCTCGGTTTCTTCAGAACCTCCTTATTTATGTGTAGTAACATTCTCAATGCTCTAGAAAGGTCCCACAATTCCTTGGGTGGAGGAAGGCCCTGCGGAGTTAAGTCTACGGCAAGTAGTTTCTTTTTCCAGTGTAATGCCATCACTTCAAGACCAAACATCTAAACACCCCAACATCCTAATATTTAAAAATAAATAAATAAAAATGATTCAAGATATTTAAAACTCTGTACTTCTCTCTGTTTCTTCAGAACCTCCTTATTTATATGTAGTAACATTCTCAATGCTCTAGATTGACCTGCCCCTTACTAATGAAAAACCATCACTCGATATTTAAATAAATAATTAATTTAAGTAATATTAATAATCAGAAATGAACATATCCAAGATGAGGATGTTGATTTTAAAATTAAAAACAATGATAAGCACAATCATGTTGAACATAAATGAATAATGACGCTGACAAAAACTAACCATATTAAATTAACAGCTAAAAAACATCATCATTTTACATTATTGGTGGAACTTTAACAGAAATCTAACTATTTCTCCTGTGATAGCACTTTACATAAGGACATTATTGCCACCCTGATTAGTGATTATAATGTAGGAAAATGGATCCCGTCAGTGACCTGAATGCAACTGCATGTGGCTTTCCTAAATTGTATCAAACATGTAAGTGTTAGGTAATCATTGGATTATGAAACCAAATGCAGAAAACACTACTTGGAGAAATAGCAGCACTAATTTGCTTGGAGGCTGAGTATATCTGTTTTACCAACGACATTCGCTTTATAAACCATTCGCCGACCCAGAAAACAGTGCCACCCACCCATGATGAGGCAAATATACCAATAAAGAATATAACAACTAATGATGTTACAAATCCAAGCCCTGCACCAGGAAAGGCAAGATTATAAGAATCAAAAAAATGGAAAGGTTAAAATGATAAATAATGTGCTTTTTGCATTATAGGTTCTAGTCTTTCTCTATATATATCGATTTGAGTTAGGTTGAATTTTTGTTTGTGTCTAGGCGAAAAACTTTGCAACATTGATATTTCTTGTTTTCAATCAATTCCAAAAAATAGTTTGAAGATGGATCTATCTCTTTGTGGCTGTTGGATTGCATAGCCTGATGATATATATGATATCTGCCTTTTCTTGCTCTATTATGTGATTGGTTTTCAACTGTTTTTACCTCTGTTTTCCAAAGCAAAAGTATTTTTACTATGGAGATTTGTTGGGCTATAAAAACAACAGCAGCAGCATCTATATCTTCATTTCCAATTAATCAGTTTTGTAGAATTTCCAGTCATTTTGAATTTTGTTTCTGAAATCCATAGGTTGAATTGTACAAATTTGCAATCTTTTTCACTAGTTTGAAGCTAAATTGTTCCAATTTTGTTATGGATTTAGAATTAGTAATGGGAGCTTTCATTGCTCAAATTCAAATTTGTTTACACACTAACATTACACTTTTCATTGATTGGTTCATTTGGAAAGTAAATGTAGGACCATCTCACTCATCCACCAATGGGAGTGTGTGTATTGTTCACATTAGGTGAACAAATTTGGACTGCTAGAGCCGACATAGTTTGAATTCTCTGTGTGTGCGCGCACGCTCGCGGGGGCTGAAATTGTGAAAATAAGAGAAGGTTCAATTTATCTTACCCTGTAAAATGTCTGTTCAAATGGATTTTTCTTTTTAATTTTTTTGTAAAGATAAGTTTAAATGAATTTTAGAATATCAACATTTTGTGCAATAATGTATGAGCTTGAAAGTGACAATTACAAACCTACTGCACCCTCAGTTAAATATTTGTCAAGAAATTTGGGAGCTAATGGAAAAGAGTTGGGAGTGCGACCTACAACAAATCTGGCGTGAGGTTAATGTGTGTGCTGATATTCTTGCAAAAAGGCCCTTGGTATGGATGTTGGCAGTGAATATCTGGTAGATGAGCCCTCTGTTTTGGCTATGGCTTTAGAAAGTGACATGTGGGGGATTGGTTCCTCTCATAATGTTATTCTGTAGTATTAGCTTGGGCCCGGATTTTACCAAAAAAAAGAAAAAGAAAAAAAGAAATGGGTTTTGCTTGCTGCCCATGTCATACACATTTTTGTAATGCATTGTATTCTCCACTTAAATACAAATACAATCAAAGAATTATGAAGTCAAAACTTGATTGAAATGAAATTAATGAAAAGTTGGACAAACAGAAAGGAGTGTTTTTTTCTTTTTTCGTTATGATTTTCCATAGTAATGTTATACGGTTTGTCCAGTAAGTCGAGTTAAAATTGAAATAAAAAGATATTGCAATCACAGTTTAAACTATTAAATTACCACAACGAGACCATTATAGAGTGATTCATTACAGAAATTCTAGATCCAACGCAAAGGGAAGTGGTAGTAGTAAAGTGTATTGTCATTGATTTTCAATTTTTTTAAAATATCTACTTGGAACAGGGATGTGCTTTCGTGAGGGAATTTGAACTCAATAATACCTCTATAACAGAGGTATTATTGAAAATCAATGACATATTGATACTCAGTTTATTTAGCATTTTTTAAGATATGCCGTAAAATGAAAATGACCGAATTTTTTGTTATCAAATCAATGAAACAAGTTCATTTAGAAGGAAACGTTTGTCTTTTCTGCAGTAATGTAGCCAAATTTAGGGAATGGTTTTATAGTTATGAATACTATAGAAAGACATTAATGTAAAGCTTTTACAAAGAAGTTTGGCTATTCTTGATAGGAACTTTCTTCTTCTTTTTCCTCTTCTTCTTTTGTTGGATTTTTGTGTGAAGGTTAACCAAAAGGAGGGCTTAGATTTGTTAATCTGGCACTGTAAGCAGATGGGGAAGCAAAAGGCAGGAATGGTGGTTAATTGATTCGTATACAAATCAAGTCCTATACAAGCAGAGACAAAGAAGATATCTACACCCCTGCCTTTATTCAGAAGTTTCTATAAAATCCAAAAATTGATCTAAATAGGGGCTCACCATCTCCAACATATATTAGACATATAATAGATAGGAAGCCAGAATAGCCATCTTCCAACAAATAATCCACATAACACATAAGGAAGCCAAAATCCAAGCCTTCATTTTCCTCTTGCCTGCAATAGCCATCTTCCAACAAAGAAGGTCTCCAACACTAAATCTTTTGAATACCTCATTCTTGCTTAAATCTTTTGAATAATTTTGAAATGTGCACGTGAAAATGGTGAGTGCTCTCAACTTAACCATACATAGGTGTTTTATGTATACATCATCTTTTGTTTCAATGCACTTTTTTAATCATTACATTATGCTTTTAGTTACACTTTTTTTAATAAGACTAGAATTAGTGATTTCACACTAGTACTTTCTTGCTCTAGATGACAGATTTGTTTACTGTGAACTGAATCAGAAATGTTTGAGTGGTTTACTAATTAAATGATCAATCATCTTTTGTTCTTATAGATTTTTTGGGAGAGCTCTCTTTTGATGAGAGTGTATGGTCCTTATATATTCTTGGTGTGTAGAGGTTACACCACCGTCTGGTGTGTTATGATATGTTTTACTGTACTTTCTTAAAAAAAGGTCTGATCCATTAGCTCGATCATACTCCAACTCTAATTGATCCTTTTTTAATAGATTGGCCAAGGTACAGTCAGTCTGCTTCAATTAACATATATGAATGATGTACATCATGTGTTGGAAATTTTTTACATATTCCACTAGTTTAAATTGATCGATGATGGATATTTGAAATGTTGTGAATTTCAATCTCTCTCTCTCTCTCTCACGCATGCTGAAGTTACAACTTCTCACCGATGAAAGATTGTTGACTGTCCGTAAGCCTTTCAAGCTCCTCTTTCACTTTCTCTGTCTGGTGTACTTTTCTTTCACCTTTTTTCTCCACAATTCTGTTTGCTTTCGGTTTCCTTTTCTGCACTAGTTTCTTTGATTTGTTGTGGTATCTTGTAATTGTGTTAGATTTGAGAAAGATTTCATCTGAAATTCCGATTGCTGTGTTTGGATTTATGATATTCATAAATGAGTTCAAACTGCAGGTTCTTGAAAGCAAGGAAGTTTGATATTGAAAAAGCAAAGCACATGTGGGCTGAAATGCTCCAATGGAGAAAAGATTTTGGTGTTGACACTATTATGGAGGTAATGACATTGGACATTTTGCCTTGGGGTTGTTGTGTGGGCTCTCCATATTATTTTCTGCCGCGGATTTGAATTAATTTATGCTTTACTTGTTGATTTTTTTCATCAAGATTTTGAATTTAAATAGTTGAATGAAGTTTTGAAGTATTACCCACATGGTAATCACGGTGTAGATAGGGAGGGAAGACTTGTCTATATTGAAAGATTGGGAAAAGTTGATCCAAACAAACTTAAGCAAGTTATCACAATGGATCGATATATAAAACACCATGTCAGGGAATTTGAGAAAAACTTTGCAATTAAGTTTCTAGCTGGTACTGTTGCTGCAAAAAGGCATATAGAGATGTTCAAGGGGTGGTATGTGGCCTCTTGTGTTTTCCTAATTTTGACTTGCTAATAATGGTGTCTAAAACAACTTTTTCCTGATTTCTAGTTGGAATAGCTTTCACATATGGCTTCAATTTTGAGTGCTTAATGTTACACTTTTTTTTTTCTTTTTTCTTTTTTTTTTTTTTGGATGTTGCGACGGTAACAAGATCGTCGCCAAAAAACATATTAGCATTTTTCTTTGTTTTTTTTGCGATGGCAAAATAGCGGTTGCCATAAGTAGTTTAGACGGTTGCAAATAATTTGCGACCGTTGCTTTGGCATTGCAAAAAGAATTTGCCACCCCCACATTCGCGACCTCCATTTACCGTCGCAAAAGGTTTGTTGCGACTGTATTTTTATTATTTGCGACGGCTTGTAACAATCGTAAAAACTAGTTTTTTTAGTAGTGGAGGTAGTTCAAAAATAAAACTCCATTTGTTCAGAATGTCCATCGTCTTGTTTTAAAAATGGGATATGTGGTCTTTTGCATAGTTGAAGGACTTCTTGAATTTATAAACTATGTTACTGTTAAAGTTAACTTCTTCTTCTTCTTCTTCTTCTTCTTCTTTTTATTTATTTATTTATTTATTTACATTTCAAATATGTGAAATTTCACACTATTAGAAATTAAAATTTTTTAATTTTTTAATTCAAAAACTATGTGAAATTCAAAAACATTTCTCAAAAAAAATTTTACAATTTCAAATCCCATAAGTGTAATTTTTTTCTTTCTCAATTTAATAATTGACAAATGCTATTTCCACACTCCTAGATACAAGTGAGTAAATTTCATGTGCATTTGTGGGTCTATTACCTCATGTCTAGACACATAAAATGTAATAAAAATAGTAATTATGTATAGCATTGCTCATTTTATCAATTGAGTAGTTTTACTTTTTTCGTTTTGTAGATCTTATTGAGTAATTTCTAAAAATATAAATTTTATGAAAAATGGATGTATGCATAAAAATTTGACATTTTAAAAATATTAGTTATCATATAAGCATGTTGACCACTTCCATAGATTTGTATTTGTACATAAATAAGGGTAAAAATGTCTAAATTTTTTATAAAATTTTGAAACAAGGATTTAAAGTCTCCCAAATAACTTATATAATGGCCCTGTTTGGTAGAGCTGTGGAAAAGTGCTTATAGCTTATGCCTAAACAGCTTATAGCTTATAACTTTTAGCTTAAGCTGATTTCCAGCTTATTCTTAAAGCATCTCCTGCCCCACTCAAAGAATAAGCTGTTTTCTGACTTCCACAAAGCTATAAGCTAAACCAAACACATCAAAATAGCTTAAATTAAGCTGAAAGCTGAAATAAGCTGAAATTAAGCTGTACCAAACAGGGCCAATGAGACTTTATTTGAGAGAGAACCAAAAAAAAAAAGAAAAAAAAAAGAGCAGCCATGGGACTTAATGGAATGCAAGTGCATGTAGAATTTTCACAAATTTTTCCTTTGAAACAAGGATTTAGGCCTCGTTTGGAAACAGGTTAATTTAGTAACTTTTTGGCTATTTGGCTAAAAAGGTAGGTAAAAAACACTTGTATGTTTGGGATGATTTTTTGACTAATTACGAAAAGATGTGCAAAAAGTAGAGAGAAAAGAGAATCTTTGACTTTTTGGTATGAGTTGTTGGTTTTTTGGCTAATTTAGTAACTTTTTGGCTAATTGGCTAAAAAAGTAAGTCCCCAAACGGGGCCTTAGTCTCCCAAATAACTTATATAATGAGACTTTATTTGAGAGAGAACCAAAAAAAAAAAGAAAAAAAAAAGAGCAGCCATGGGACTTAATGGAATGCAAGTGCATGTAGAATTTTCACAAATTTTTCCTAAAAAAATATAAAATAAAAATAAAATAAGGAATTATAGGTTTAACCAGCCGTCAGAAAGTTGTATAATGGACCAACTTGTTTCAAAACAAACATTCAAATGAAGTTACAATTTACTTCACTACCATCGAGCAACAAGCTCAGTAATTGTAACATCATTTGTTGAAATCTGTGTTGATTTAGTTTCAGATTGATCTGACTCTGTCATTGAATTGAACTCATGTGACAAATTGCCTTGGCCTTGCCTTTCTGGCAATAAAAATGCAGGATGCGAAGGCAATGATAGACTAAACGAGGTGCTAATGAGCATGCTAACAACTATAGCCATGGTTGGTTTATCTGCTGCATTTTCTTGAACGCACAATAAACCAGTATGGATGCATCTCATAATCTCACTTTCTGGACCTGTCATTAATGTTGAATCCACTATATCTAGAATTGTATTTTTTCTCCAACACTTCCATGCCCGTAAGAGTTCACAGAGGTGAATATATGGTAATAAAATTTCGATTTATAACTTCACCAACCATGCAATAATTTGAATGGTAGTTGCTTTCACAACATATAACTACTATCTCTTTTGGCTCAAGCTCATTGAAAGTCAAACTTTCTGAAGAAAACTCTTCTTTTTAGTAGCATTCATAAGTCATTAGTCCCACCCACCCCCTAAAAACAAATTAAAGAATAGAAAAGAAAAAACTCATACTTACACAGCTTAGAAGGTCCTCGCCATTCTCCACATCACGGAAACAAAAGATCTTTTGGCCGCTTAAAATTTCCAATAGAATCACACCAAAACTGAAGACATCTGACTTAATCGAGAATTGTCCTTGTTGAAAATATTTAGGAGGCATATATCCACTGGCATGTTATTGTCCACCATATTATTTTCAATGATATGATCTATTTGCATGATATAATCAATATGTTCAACTTGTTCATAGAGTATCTTCTATTTTTTGTTTAGTATTCGGATTGGTGAATCAAGATAAATTCTTAGTTTGTGAAAGAAATACTTACATGGTACCCATGATTCTACTTGCTGTGTAATGGGATTTATCTAATGCGATTAGTCTTCCTGTACCAAAATCTGAAATTTTATGATTCATTTCTGCATCTAGCAAAATGTTGCTAGCTTTGAGATCACGATGAATAATCCGATGTTGTGAATCTTCGTGAAGATATAGAAGCCCTCGAGCAAAGCCTTGTATAATGTTGAAACGTTTTTTCCAATCCAAATGTGCACGTTTGACATGATCTTCATAATCATACAAAGTATGTGTTCAAATATAATTTTATCATATAAGCATCACTAGTCAAAAAATTGTATATACTTGAAAAAGTAAAAGAAGTAGTGCACTGTACCAAATATGAAATGATCAACGCTTTTGTTAGGCATAAACTCATAAATGAGAAGTAATTCTTTCTCTTCCAAGCAGAAACCTAAGAGGCTGACCAAATTTTTGTGACGAAGTTTGGTCAGTAACAAAACCTCATTCTTGAATTCTTCTTGACCTTGTCTAGAATTACCAGAGAGCTTTTTCACAGCTATTCTTGCCCATTTAGAAGCACATCCTATGTTTTTGTGAGAATAATTTAAGAAACAATGTCATATGCAACATTTCATTTCACACCACAATTATGACAACTCATTTTATTTATTGTAACTGCATGAGTATGCATCTAGTTACCTTGTAAACAGGGCCAAACCCACCTTCTCCAAGCTTATTGACATCAAAGAAATTATCCGTTGCATCTCTAATTGTTCCGAAGTCAAATTGTAAGGATTCGATAGATGGCGTTGAATCCTCATCTTCACAGGAAGTATAAAAAATAAATAACTAAATTGAACTATGTAACAGAATGCATCACAATATTAAGAAGAGAGGAGACTTCTGACTATGTTACACCAATTCTCCTATAGTATTTTCTTCAAGAAAATGATTTCCAAAATAACGTAGTGATAGCTCTAAAACCGAAGTATAAATGATGAAGATTTTACTTACTTTCCGTAGCCTCCCCTGAAGACTTGACTTTCCTCACAATAAAATAGTTGCCAATGAAGATGACAAGAATCACCAAAATGGCTGCCAAAGTTATGGTAGAGATGAATGTTGCTGATGTGTTTCTCTTCTTCCCTACAAAATCAAAAACATTTTCTGGTAAAAAAACTGATTTTGAAATTGCTCTTATGTGGAGATAAAGCAAGTATTCCTGAAAATTGGCCCAATTTTGACATCACTGCTAACACCATTACTAATACAAATGTTGCAATCAAACATAGAACTTTTTCTACTAAAAACATTCAAAAAAAAAAAAAAAAATTCAAATGAAGCATAAATAAGAGTATACGAGAGTAATTACGTTGTGGTACCATAACTGAAGATGGCTTTAAGGGAGGAGGAGCGGCAGATGGCACAGAGGGAGGAATGACTACGTCATAAAAAGCTACCAAGCCATACCTTGTTTGACAATTTGCCTTATAAACCAGTCCCCACTCTTTGCCATAAGTGTTATATTGAAGATTAGCGAGTGCAAGTTGTAAACAGTTCCTGCAAACGCATTCAGTTATGTCAGGAATGCATTGCATAAAACAATATAACTGCCTAGAACCAATTATTTTGGCTTCTCCTATTGCAAATTTTGTTGTTGAAGAACCAAAAACAGCCTTAGTAATAAGGCCAGCCATTGTATTTGCCAATACTTGATCCAACCTATCAGGATTGTAGAATGATATTGAACTGTTCCAATAAACGCCAGGATCTTGGTCTTCGGTAGAGAAGAAGGAATAGTTTGCGTATCATACAACACATTCCACATAGTATATAATAGCTTTTTTCTGATTTGGACAGTATTGTGTGATGTAATATGAAGCATATTGGACACAGACTTGGCAATCTTGTGCGGCAACGTACGCTGGGCAAAAGCTAAGTGCATACACTGTGTTTTCATTTCTACCAAAGGTGGAGTTGTAGAAGTTGGTCAGGGGGGTTTGAGAGGAGAGATTAGTAAGGAGGTGTTTGAGATTGTTTTGAAACACACTACTGTTATTTGTGTAATTAAACTGATGATCACAATTAAAAAAGATGTAGGTTACTGAGGTAACTGAACTAACAAATTGTAGAAAGAAGAGAATGAATGGAAAATCGTTGAGAAATGGAGAAGAGAGGCCATATCT